AGTTTCTTTCGAAACTATCAGCCTTTATTATTTGTGATTTGGTTCTGTAAAGCCTGAAGCAATTGCTTAAAAGTGTTCTAAAGATGACTAAGTTTGCTCATTATCCCGTGGACTGACTTCGTCAATCATTAGCTGTCTGAAAGGTTCATCAAGCTAGAAACAACACCCTTTTCTAATTGTTGACAATAGAAATGTCCAAATGTAGAAGTAACCAGATATCGCACCAGCAGCAGATTTTCTTTCGTTTTTCTGCTTTAGAAAACTTTTCTTTGAGATTACTTCATGATCTTAGGAAAAAGCTTCGTCGCAACTCAGTCTCAAGTGCGATTAGAAAGAAACACTAGTGCGCTCCTGAGTGCAAAGACACACCTGTGATTGAATGCACTCTTCATCAATCTTCAATTAAATAGCCATCTAAGGCTATAGTCGTGAGGAAGTCTTCGCGCCTCCCTATACGCGCTGTATTTGCCAAGCTTAAAGTCTGGATACGTACGTGTATGTGTAAGTATCGGTATTATAAAAAAAAGTTTACAGCTAAACTTTCCTAATACACTCATCTATGATTGTTGAAAATGGACATTTCTGGAGCGCTAATTAAACGTATTTCCTCACTGTAATTCAGCGCTGATGGTTCTTCGATGCTATTAAGATCTTTTAATCAAGTCATAACATAAAAAGACTCCTAGCATTCCCTATTACGGGATAACTAAACTTTCGGTCAGCTGCACCCATTCAGCTTTTACTTGAACTTATCCGGGCTTGACAGGGTGGTTTTTAGACGATTTAAAACGATGATCCAATTCGCTACACCTTTGTCGCTTGAGAGATGGGTCTTTCTTACTCGATTTACTTTTCCAAGGGAAGGGGGATTTAAATTAACTTGCGCAATTCAAGGGGAGTTTTCTTCAGTGCTTGACGCTAAAACATTACTCTTCACACTTAATTTGTAAACCGTGGTAGCCAGTAGCACCTAGTACATATTTCTGCCTAAAATAAGCCGACAATTTAACATCTTTCCGCTTTACTTCTTAATCCTAAGGATTAAATTTGGCGTCTTTTTTTCCCAGCTCAAACACGCTTTCCTTTGTCGTACATCCGAGTCAAATGGTGAAACATGTTTCTCAATGTTTGCTTTACTAAAAGAAACAAAACGAAAACAAACTTCGAGTAATTTGAGTGTTACCGCACCTTGCATGATTTCCGGCCATCATCAAGGTAAATCTTGTCAACCGTACCCGGCCCAGTCTTAATCTTAAGCAGATTTCTATCCAGTATCATATGATCCAGAGAAGATCTTGTAATCGGCGAAACTTGTATGTTTTTGTGTCCCGACTGAGTCCATGGAATCCGTGCTAGTTTGTGTGATGTTGGTTACTTTTTCTTTCAAGTAACGGAAACCATTTCCATAAAGAAATAAAAAAGACTTCCCGTCTGGTGTTTTTTGAAGACACAACGATTTAACTCTCTTGTGTTTGTACTTGAAATCTGCTCAGAAATGAAATGTAGAAAGGTAATTAAAACTTTTGTTTTCATTCAGGTTCGTTAAATCTTCCGTTAGTCTATATATGGACTACAACCCCAAAAATGAAGAAGTTCTTATTGTTGGCTAGCAGTGACAGATGGTGCCTCACTTTGTTGAAACTTATATCCTTGCTTTACATCTTAGAATATGTTAGCTATTTGTTTCCTTTAAGCACGTGAAAATAATTAAAATCGTAAAGGTAACTCGAATTCACCTGACTTTTAGTATATTTGAGCTCATAACGCGGCAGCACTAGAAATGTGTTAAAAAGGATATAATCCAACTCCCTTGTCATCTCTTACATTTCTAACCCACTTAAAGTTTTTTCGCATCACAGTTAAATTCACACTGCTTATACATTTGCTTTTCTATGGAAAGTTTCTTTTTTCGCGTAGGGATATATATGAAATGTGGGTAACGAGATTCAAATCAATTTGTTCGAGCTATCTAGAAACGTAACTCGAAGTTCAACTCGAAGATCAACTCAAAGGTCAACTCAAAGGTCAACTCGAAGTCCAACTTATTACTTGCGATCGCAACTTGCAAGTTAGTTTCAGTATCAGTTACATGGAGCATTCATGTTCGTCTTGCTCGTTAACAGTGAAGATGGCGGTTGTTGTATTTAAAGCATTGCTTGTCTGCTTAACGATTTCACAAAGCTACGCACTCCCTAATAGTTGCGGGGGAACTAGCGGTAATCGCATGGCTCCCAAAGCATGACAACACTCAATGATACATGTATCAAGGCGTTTCTTGAAACGTCCGTTTACAGTATGTTTCAGTTATTACTCACATCTGTGGAAAGTTAAACTTAGGCATACGGATGTGCATATAAGCTGTTCGCTTTTGGTTGTAATCATTCTCTGAAGAAGTCTCGGCTGGAGAAGAAACAATTCATATGAAATAAACGAGAAATTACAACAACAGGACGTCTTCCTTTGTACTGCTCACCAGTCTCCGCTAAAAAATTGTGGACGTTCCGCAGATGAACGTTTAGCGTAAACTCAAACCACTTCAGGCGAAAATGAGCTCGAGTAAGGGACTGCCAAATCTCGATAAAAACCCAGCTTTTAGCAGGTAACAACCGAACGAAGTGAATCTGAATTATTTTTCAACATTACAAATGGTAAATTTTCCTTGAAATAAAGGATTTCCATAATTCTTACATGAATTGGGTCTTGTAAGGGAACACCAGATCTCAATAAATATCAAACTTTTAAACTGTAACAAGAGACAACCTACGAAGAAATGTGAAACAATTCTCTTAAGGCTTCAGTGCAACCAAAGAAATTGGGAAAGAAATTGTTTACTTTCGTCATAAATAGAACCAACCTAAGAAGCAACAGATTGGGGAGGATGCAGATTATACATGGAGCTTTAATAACGATCTCTTCACCATCCATCTTTGTGATCACAGTTAAAATTTGGTCTCATCAACCAAGTTGACAATCTGAAGTGGCCACTATAAAGTGTTTCTCAAGGCTGACGTTGCGAGCGTAAGCCCACACAAATACACGTTTTCCCACACTAATATAGTACGTTTTTAAAAGTCTCCTTATCGAAAACGAAGCCAAAATATACCGTATCACAAGTCAGGTTAGAGCCTGAACCAAGTTTTGACTCAGACGAACATCCATGCTTCATGTGACTGATATTGAAACTAACTTACAAGTGGCAAGTAATAAGTCGCGATCGCAAGTTTTAAGTTGCGTTCGCAAAAAAAAGTCGCGATCGCGAGTTATAAATCACCAGCCCGAAAAACAGGTGTAATTTTTTGGCATGCGCGAGGCGGCACGAACTGCAAGCCACGCGCGAGGCGCAAAAAGAAAATAAAAGATAAGTCGCGATCGCGAGTTACAAGTTGCAATCGCAAGTCACGCTATCTTAAGTTAGTACCTCGCGATCGAAAAAATCGAAAATCGGAAAAACGCAGTTTTCAGAACAACTTTGACTCCCCTTTGAGAGTGAGTAGAACATTCCATTAGCCCTGGCCCGTTCATCTCAGTGATGTAAAATTCCTGCCTTTTGCGTCTTGCCCATGAGCGCACATTCATTGTGGTCTTGGTAGAGAGAATGATAATGGGTGCAGCACAAGATTTGGCCCAAGTGTCTTGTCCTAAATCACTGGTTATCCAGTCCATCCTCCTGATTTGATAGCGTCTTCCGCTTTACACAGGCAGTATAGTGTTTTCGCTAACAGGACTTTGTATTTTTTTTTCTCTACCTGAATGAACGATAAAGTGCTCGGTGTTTTCTCAGTTGACCGAGGGTCCATTGAAATCTTAGCGAACATGGAAGTTTTAATTCGTCTTAAACCGGTGGAAATCGAAGCCATCCCCTGGATCTGTACCGTCTTCCCCCCGCCATTAGGGACTTTAAGATGCAGCCTCTACTACGGCGACCGGAAGTCTACACTTACAACTTGTCCGACTGCGCATGTCTAAGGCGGGAATTCACGCCGTACTCTTGCCATCTGCTACGGCATAATCACTTCTTTCCCGTAGTGGTGAGTACGTCAGAATTTGCCGTAATATTTTGTTTGAAGTTTTGATTATTTGAATGTTTTCCATGTGATTAAATTAATTGCGTTTCTTTACGAGTTGATGAATCGTGGATAAACGCTATTTGGTCAAAATTTACTTGTAGAAAAAAGATGTCAAAACCAGAGACAGCTTCAGGTTCCGCCGCCAACACTGCCAAGCGGCAATCGTAATTATTTCCATATCGTTTTCGTTTGTTTTATTCTTTTTGACTCAGTCGAGCTCTTCGGTTTGCTTCATGATCCGGCACTAAGCTGGTGAATACTGTTACGTGTAACAAATTACTAGAATGTTTATTTATTTCTGTTAATTTGATTTTTACAACAGGCCAATGGAGTGGACAACAGCGCACGACGTGTTGCTGTGCAGAGAAAATTTGGAAGAGGAGTTTTATAAGTTCAAGAAAGGGAGTAATGACAGAGGAAGAATTTGGACGCAAATTTCCGAGAACCTCAAAAGTGTAACTGCAGTCAAATTCAAAGTGAGTCAATGAGCGGTAAGAGAGCGATTTGACTTGCTACTCGGAAGATTTCGACAGCAAAGTAGAGAAGAAGAAAATGCAAGTGGTATATCTCCCCAACCAACATAGCTCGACGTACTGTTAGAAGACTTTTCTGAAAGAGAGAAATTAGCACAATCAACGAGAGAATCCTGTAACAGAAGGAGTGGCGAAACAAATCGCAAAAAAGCCGAGGAGACGCGTTTCCAAGCCTTGGAAAGAGTTGGTGAAACAAAAAGAAGGGCTAATGAGAACTGTGAAAGAAAAGCGAAAAGGCAACGAAGAAGTGGAGCTGATGTTGCCGAATTTGTACGCGAAAAATCAGAAGAGGAGCTTAAGATCCGCAAAGAGGAGCTCGCTTTGAAAGCAATAGAAGTTGAAAACGAAAAAAGATAAGCAAGCACATATGTTTAAAACCCAGGAGGCCATGATTACAAACATGGCAAAACAACAAGATCAGATGCAAACACTTCAAAATGGCTTTTTTGCAGCAACAGCAACAACAGACACAGGCCACGATGGTGTTGTTAGAAAGAATTGCGAAAAAGTAGTAACTTAGTTCCCTGACAGAGATTAACAATGGATTGATTTACTCTTGTAAATTTATTGCAGCTTCAAGTTACTGATTTTGTTTGTTTAGTGTCATTTTGAATTTTATATTTTTAAAGTAGTAGTGAATAATGCACCATTCAAGACATATCTTAAATTAATAAATTACTTCGCAAGTACCGCTATGTGGGTTTTTTTTTTTTTAAGCTAAACTGTGCCAAATATTCGTCGTCCCTAAAATTTTCGAGGTCAAACTCAGAGAACGAGTTATACGGAAGTTCTAAGTTTTGTGATTCGTAGCCAGTGTAAAGCAACAAAAATTCGTCATCACAAATGCAATTCATCTCATAACAAAGACGGATTAACTCTCTTTCTTCCTTGAAGGATGAAATTTTTGCTATTAAAGTGACTCCACAACAACGCTTTGCGCTCTTAGCTTCCGCCGTAGTGTCGCTGTAGCTTAACGATTCGTATTTGGCGGGCAATACGCCTTACTCACCCTAGTCCATCGCGGCCAAGGTAGCCGTAGTACAGATTCACCGTACCGTATCTTAAAGTCCCTATTAGCCATTTGCTGGTTTTTTTTGCTACAGAACATGGATACATTTTATTTTTAGGTTAGGAAAAACGTTAGAAAATTCCACGGTTGATTGATCGCCTTATCGACCGTCATACAGAAACTGATTTCCCAAAGGATTGTATGTGGAAGATTTCAGGTTACACCTTGCGTCCTCAAATTTTTAACATCGCTTTCTCAATGAAGCAAGCGCAAGCGCAAGGTCCATACGCCATGACCTCAAGCCGAATATTTTCCCGTCCGGCCCGACCTAACTCAGTCAATAAGCATTTCAACATCTGAACACTGACTACGTTTTGACAAATTCGAAAAAGTTTGTTCTAACTTGAAAAGACTGGCGCGGGAAAACCAAAATTGAGATTCCACAATGAAAAGTTTTCCTTTATTTTTTCGAGTCAGAACAAGAAACTCACAATTCATTGAAAAACGTGTCTTATTTTCTCATTGTTGTTTGCTGCTGTCACTCATTTTTGCAACAGAAGCGAACAATGCTTCTTTCTTTTTTTCTTTGGCAACAAAGCCGTACAAGTGCACTAGGACCGGACGGCTTTTTCCGGACCGGGTGACGTCAACCTGTCCGGCCCTACACACATCAGCTTTTACTACGGTTTTCTATGAGATTACGCGAAATACTATATTATAGTTTCTTATTTAGTTTGAAATGTGTCTTAGTATAATCAATACTTGGCTAGATACTATTTTATTAAGTACACGACCCCACACGCTTTTTTAGCTTTAATTCTTATCGTGTATAAGTAAAGATTCTATTCTACGGGTCATATGATCAAGACATTTCGGCTGGCTTGTGTGACAGTTAAAGTTAACACATAAGACACACTGAAGTTAGCTTCTTTATAAAATAAAAAAAAGGATCATTCACGTGATATTTTTTCCCATCCGAAATACACCGCAAATGATATTGATAACAGATCTTCTACAAGCAGTTTATTGAGCTCAGCCTCATGATCAGTTGACAAGTGGTCACATTGGTTACCATTGTAAGCATAATGTTCACCTTCTCCTGAAGGCACGAGAAATACGCCAAGCATTTGGTTCTTCGTATCTGCAAAAAAAAAAAAAAAAAAAAAAAAAAAACACGAAACGAAACACGGCGTTTAAAACAAACACACTCCTAACTTTATCTAAAAAATTCTTTATTTCTTTCCCACCCTTTCAAAATTGCATATAGACAACGGAACATTCAACATTTAGAGCCTATGCTCCAAATACCGTTATTCTGATTTGACTTATAAATGAACTTTCAATGCTAACTGGCTACAACAGGTCACGTATACTGTAAAACAAGGTGACGGTTTCCTAGTGGTTACAAATGCCAATCCTCACCTGTTGTACAACGGCTCCAATCTCTCCTGCCTTTTACGCTTGCTCAGTTTGGTGGGATCTCCCATCTTAAAGAACGCGGGCGCAAACTCAACCAGCCATTTAGGATCAACAGTAGTGACCTCTCTCATGTACTCCTTGGTTGTTAAAACGAGCTCATGATAAACCACCCACTCAGGCTGCCGGTTGAACAGCGCACTGGACGGATGAATGTACACCACCTGGTTATCCGTCACTGTGCGGTAGCCTTCCTGTGGATCTTTTCTGGCGGCGTTGCGGAAGAAACCGCTCGTAATGGCTTTTTGCACCCGGGATGTCGTCTTGCCACAAGACACCACGTCAAGCTTGTGTCTAAAAATAAAATTGACATGATTAACTACCAAACCGCTGGAGTTTATCTCGGCTTCTGTAGCAGGCGGCGATAAATAGTATTATCACCTCTTCTGAACGGGATGTTAGTCCATCGCAAAATACTTTTCCCTCTTATTCCCTTTCCCTGGGAAGCCCGTCAAGTTTCTCTAACAGCTCGCCCATACCATATTGCGAATGCAAAGCGCGTTGTGCCAGAACAAAACATAATAACACTGGCTAGGGTTTGAATACAGACATTTCGATACAAAAAATCGGTACGATAACCACTACGCTATTGCGAGTCTCAATATCTACTGACTATAAAAACTGGAAACGAGATCGGGTTAAAGTTTAGGATCTCGAGAGCTAGGTGGTTCTAGTGTAGGGACTGCACGATGGTTGAACAACCAATTCATTTACTTTTTTACGGATCAAGACACTTCTGTAATCTTCGATACGGCAGAATAAAATATTTGGGCGGATTCTTCTCGTACATGTATGAATCCTTCTAGATACACATTCGTACCTGTCCATAATGCCAAGCATTTGTTTTCTGATGTCTTGAGCTCGTCTCAGTGACCTCGCCTGCACAAAGTTCTCAAAGCACCATGGATTTGAGAACTTGTTGTTCTTCCACGAGTTGTAGACAGCGAGTAATGTGAGGTGGTCTCCTTCAGCCTGGTGAAACTTAGCTTTCTTTTGATCAGCAAGAGCCTGCTTATCCTACAAAAAAGTAAAAAGAACAAAGCACGTCAGAATTACACCTGATTTTAAATCGCATTGTCAACTTTGAAACGCAATGCGTCTCTTCTTGTTTTTGTAACGGCACGACTTTTTCCGGTAAGACTACTCACCTTGGGCCTGTAAAAGACGTTTTGTACAGACAGCATGGAAACAATGGTTAGCACCTCGTCACTGCAGCCCAGATGTACTGACTGAATTAACATCTTCGACAATTGTGGCTCTAGTGGAAACTCCGCCATTCGTCTCCCAAGTCTAGTTAACAGGCCTTCATCGTCCAGGGCGCTAAGTGAGTGTAACTGTTCCATAGCTGAAATCATGGTCTGATAATAGTATTTTTATTAAATCGACTTCTATAAAGGCTGGTTTCACCAAAAATTTTGCCCAATTTCCGCTTCTCTACCTCTCGACTACAATCTTCGTTTTCGGGGTGGAGCGTGGGATCATTTCCCGAACAGGGGCTGGTTATAGAACTCATCTATACATAAGAACAAACTTACATAACAGCAAACACTTTACTTGTGCCTTTGTTTGTTCTTATTCTTCGTGAAACTCACCCTTTGACGCTTTGATAATCGGATTTCGTGGTCAAACGACGCTAGAACTAGAACTCAATTTATGAAATACCTGAGAACTCGGGACGCTGTTATTGGGCGATGGGAGTGGTTTAAACCAACACCTCAGGTGGCTCAACACAGTTTTTGCGCGCGCTTTTGCTGATGCAATTCAGCGCGCGCACAAGGATTGTAAAAAACAAACATGCCGCCAATAAATGGGTCATTTTAGTTACTTAACACGTACCCACACTATCTGTGCCATTTTTCTCAAAAATTGGCGCAGTGTATTGAGGGCTTTAATCTTTTATTACAAAGACATGTTAGAAAAGTTAACGGTGCAAAGAACCCAGCAATTCTCAGCTTTTTCGTTGTTACTGAAAGAACCCAGTTAAATGCAGCGCATGCGTAGTAAGTAAAAAAAATTGCGAATGAATGGAAAATTGCTTTCTAGGAAATATGCCTATTTCACGAAATTTGGTTCGAAAATACTTTAGGAAATAAGTAACTGGAGTATTGAAAAAAAATTGATTTTAAATAAAGGAAATTCTAGAGAATCGAGTGAACCTTCAACAAGGAATAATTGAAGATCTCTCTGTTAAATTGTTAGTAAAACGGTGTCAACTTGTGAGTATCGTTAGAAGCTTGTTGTATGTAAGTTATAAAGAAAATCTAATGACTAGATTTTCTACAAAGAAAGTAAACCGATTTTAATTGCCTCTTTATATCTATTCACGTCGCCATGGCAACGGAACATACGTCAGCTTAACTATCAAAAAAACAAAGTTTGTGTTGTTAACTTGCTTGCTGCCTGTTTTAGTGACCGAGAGATCAAGAGTTTTAGAGAAAATGGTGAAAGAAACAAAGGTATCAAAAACTGTGTTCAGCCACCTAACTGCATCTAAGGCTGGCACAAATGTCTTAAATACTCCCAACTCGCCATGTAAACACAGAAAAAGTCCCTCGTCGTTTAAATATTCAATGCGATACGTTCTTCCAAATCTATTACTGTCCATGAAAAACTCGACATTACTCCAACACTTAAACAGATCCAAGTTGCCCATATAGTTGAAACTCAAAGATCCGACTATTTCAATGGATTTCAATCGAAAACTTTTCAATCAAGTGTCCCAAAACCAAAGCAAAACTATAATGACTTATACCAGAAAGAAAGGTCACACCGCTAGTTAGCCAAAGAGAACTTCAAGTTGATACAGAAGAAACAGCTTCACGCACCGGAAAAAAAACGCAAGAAACCGGGCCACGATTGGTCTTAATTTTCCTTCTGAATCGATCGAGAGGATGGCTTAAGTTTTTAAATTATCAAGCCTAAAGAAGCAAAATCTTTGCTTCCCAATTGAAACTCGGTCAAGCAGCACCCTCACGGTGACAAAGGAACACAATACAATACCTCCATGGGCGGTGGATCCATAAAATCAAAGGAAAGCAAATCATTGACTCCCATAGCCTTAAGTGACAGTATAGTGCTTGCCAAGTTTGTTCTCTGGATTTCAGGTACAGCGGTCGGCAGCATCTCATCTCTGTACGCACGCTCCGTGTACAGTCGATAGCATTTACCAGGCCCCGTTCTTCCCGCTCGGCCAGAGCGCTGCTTAGCTTGAGCCTATAACAGTTATTTCAATAGACTTTATATTGAGTGTACAGTTTGAAATGCTTGGGATACCATATTATTTCAAAGTCTCTTGATACGAAAAGTTAGTGCTGCGAAACAGCTCTAAAAAAAAAAAAACAAAAAAAATTGCAGTTGGACATACAAAAAAACCACAGCTGAAAATGCAAAAACAACAGCACACAAGATATGAACCTGCGAGATGGGAGTGACGACCAAAGCGTCAATTCCGGACTTGGAGTTGTAGACTTTTTGCTTCACAAATCCCGGATCAACCACATAGTAGATACCGTCAATTGTTAACGATGTCTCAGCAATGTTAGTGGCAATTACCACCTGTGATAAGAAAAAGACAAAATCCACCTATGAAAGTAAATCGTGTACCAGCTAATTTTAATTGTCTGTCAAAAGCAAAAGTTGATGGAGGAACATTCTACTGACAACAACTAGTCACTTGACTCTGATGATGACTTCCGCACAGGTTGTCGAAACGTCAGTCGCTACCACCGACAACAATCCTTCTCAGGACTACACTCACCCGGACGATCAGACTACACTTTCACAGATTGTAAGATGTTTATTGTAGCTGGTTTTGTACCTTTCTGCTGCCAGGTGGTGCGGGGTCAAATATTCTTGTTTGCATCTCTGATGGCAAAGCACTATAAACTGGCAGAATAATCAACTCAGGAACATCCGGTCCTAAGCTCTTCATACGCTCGTACAAAATCTCGCATGCAGTGTCGATTTCTTCTTGACCTGAAAAACAGAAAAGGAAACAGGTTAAGGGCCACTGATGGTCTCCTTCTGAACTTATGCGGAGGCAAATCCAGTTGACGGTGCCTCGACATTAAAGTATCCTTTAGTTTGCAATTTTGAACAAATGCAGGACTAGTAAATCAGCTGATAACGTCACCGGAAAACTGACGCCAGGAAAAACTGTATATAAAAGAATACAGAAAAATTTAAAAAGACAATAAAAGCGAGGAATATAACATGTTAAGTCTCCTTATCCCTTTTCCGTGACCGCTTTGTCGCCACGGTCCTTTTAACGCTGTTTTGGCGACTTTCTTTGGAACGACTGTTGTGCTTCCAATCAACTGGTGTATAAACTGTATATGACTGTGTTTGTTTATACACAGTTGAATACTATCACCACATCCATTACAAAGGAAGTCGCCAAAACAGCGCCAGTTAAAACGACCGTTAGCGACAAAGCTACTACGGAAAAAAAGTAAGGAGACTTAACACGTTATATTCCTTGCTTTTTTTATCCTTTTATTTTATCTATTTATTTATTTTTCATAATTTTTCCTGTTTTAACGGTCTACGCTTACGCTCAAAATTCAAACTCGATATGTTAGCTATTCCCGTTAATGACCTTTAGACCCCAAAGTCACACACAGTACGCTTTTGCCGCCAACCTGTCAAAAACACAAGAATATCTCCTGGTGGCTCAGTCAAGTGGATCTGCATGACGGTGATAAGGGATGCATCCAGGTAATCTGTCTCTGCTTCTTTTGTATACAAAATCTCGACCGGAAAAGTCCGTCCTGGGATCGTGAAAATGGGAGCCTCAAAGAAATACGTAGAAAATTTGACTGCGTCCAGCGTGGCCGAGGTTACAATCAACTTCAAATCGGATCGCTTTTCCACGGTTTTTTTCATCAACCCGAAGAGAACATCGGTATTTATCCCGCGCTCGTGTGCTTCATCGAGAATCACTATGGCGTATTGATTTAAATCCGGGTCGAGAAGACACTCGCGAAGCAGCATACCGTCCGTCATATATTTAATCTTGGTCTCGGAACTCGTACAGTCTTCAAACCGTATGGTGTACCCTACTTCCTGTCCAAGTCGACAGCCGTACTCCTCTGAGACTCGTTTGGCGACTGACATAGCTGCCACTCGCCTTGGCTGAGTACAAGCAAGTTTTCCTGTGCTTAAAAGGCCCTCCTCTGCCAGATACTGCGTTATTTGTGTTGTTTTCCCGCTACCAGTTTCACCAATGACGATCAAAACTTGGTTTTCAATCACGGCCTTTGAAAACAGAAAAACATCTTAAAGAGTTGCCTTGTACGAAAAGGTTGAATCTGGCCATCCCTAACCCTGCTATTTGTTTCGATCAACAAACCACAAAATACTTCATAATTGAATATTTAAACACTAAACCGAGTTTTCCCTTTTCCCTCTCGTCCGAAAGGTAAACCGATCGGTGAAGAAACATGGATATCCATGAAAGTATAACCAACCTGTAAGATACCGTCAGAACGGTCAAATACTGTTACCTGAACTTAAATGCTGATACTTTAACAAACCTCTCTTTACCATCAATACATTTAAAGCCAAAAGGGATCAAATTGTAAGTGGAGAAACTTCAATGAGGTGCACACATTAGAAAACCTATTTTGAATCCTAATAGGTTCCGTTAGTGTGTCATTCTTGCACATCGATTTTATTATTTTCTGTTCATGTCATATTTTAGATATTCATATTTCATACTTCCACCGTGAGTTTTTACTTGTTAATTACGCGAGTTACTTATTTTTACATTGTTAATTTTGAGGGCCTCACTGAAAACCGCTATGGCGAGCAAAGACAAAAAACAAAAAACAAACCTTTAGCAATTCTTCACGAAGCTTGTAGATAGGTAATCCTTGCCTCTGTTCCAATATACTCAAATTCGTTTTCTTTCCATATGAAGCTTTATTCCCTCCAAATGTAGCCCGTTTCCATTCAGGCATATCTTCATTGGTCAATCCAACTCCTCGCATATCTTGGGCGAAGATTGGTTTATCACCGTCCACTGAGCAGCAACAAAAAAAATATTACCGATGGTTTCAGGATACTGAGTGTCCTTATTGTTTCTATTTCTACTCCAAGTTATACCGTTAGCGTTTCCAGTCTAAATTTCCTGGTACATACCATAACAATGGGTAGTCTTGTCATCGAGCAGTCCAAAAAAAGGAGAGCACATAATATACTTTACATTACCACAACACAATTTGTGGACTATTACCTAGAGCATTCGGGATATTAGTAGTATATATGTATTTCAATCTAGCCAAAAGTGCCTTTCCCAGCTCCCGGAAGGGGTGCTAAAACAGTCGAAGAGAGAGGTAGCTAATACTCACCATCGGGGACAGGATCAATCCACAGTTTTCCAAGATCTTTTGGAATGCTGTCTGCCTGTGCTTCTCTTTGGGCTTGTTTAAGTTCTCTTCTTTCCTTGGCCAAGGCACTTTGAGTCATGGCCGCTCTTTGTAGGGAACCATCAGGATTCTGTTGAAGGGCATGTGAATTGGTGAGCTAATATGTAACACTGATCCCAGGGTTCTAATTAAGTGCCGGTGTCACAGCGGATTTGGACCCCCCTTCGCAGATTTGGACCCCCCACTAAACATTCCTTTTTTATTCCAACTGCAAGCTTTTAGGTGATGTCCGTTATAATTTCAACACAAGATTGCGTACTATAATTGACGAAGAAAAGCGCACATATCGTTTCATTTCTGACACATTTATCTAAGTTAGTAGAATAGCCTACGCGTGAATTAAATGACAACTATTGGATTGGAACTATTGAAACTCATAACAAATCCTCTCTTATTCTGATGCGAAGAGTCTAGCGGTGACTTATGGTCTTCCATCTACTTTTTGTTAATTCACCCTACGGAACACTCTGTTTTTAACTTGACAAGAGCGCTAAAAAGACTGCAAGTTTAACTTAATTACTTTCATTCAACAGGTAAGTAGCAAGAAGCACAAACGCAACGCGATGTTAATTTAACTGTGCGCCTAAAATAACATCATAACAACTTAATAAAGAAGTAAATTGTTCAACCGTATAAAACCAAAGTAGGCGGAGCAACGAATATCAGTTGTGGAACATGAACAGCGAATTCCCGATTTTTTCGAACCTTCGTGAAAATAAAACTTATTTCGAAAAATTGCGTTGACTAAAGGCTTTTGGTTGGAGTTATCGGAAGTTTCGAAAAGTCGAGATTCGAGCAATCGGTATTTCACAGAAGCAAAACAAACAATAATTGAAGCTTTGATGCATTCAACGGTTTTTATTATTTTATATTTCACACTTTTTCAAGAGAACTGGTAAACAAACAAACGATTTCAAAATTTACGTTTCGTTTTCATTCCAGAGGTAAACAACAAACTTGCAGCTGCAGGTTAATTTAACGAAAATCTTAAATTGAGACGCAATGCTGAGAAAAAGTTAACGTCTACGCGTGTGTTTTACAATTAAAAAAACATTCTTTGAAAGCCTACTTTCTGAATTATTATTTCTATTAGAAAATTATTTATGGTAATGTTTTTACTCAGTTTTGTTAAAGGGGCCCAAATCCGCGGAGGGGGATAAAAATCCGCTAGCGAATATGGACGGGGGGTCCAATTCTAGAGGGGTCCAAATCCTCTAGGACACCGGCCGCTGGCTCAAGAACCGGCTACTTCGATTTCTGAGCCGCCTACTTTTCGTGAAATAATTTGTGCGTGCGTTGTATAGAGTAATGAAAATAAATTGGTGTCAACCGTCCGCTTCGTGAAGCAAGCCGTCTACTTCCTAAATTAATGAGAACCCTGAGATCCTGTCTCAACTTGTAATATATAACACAGATCCTGTCTCAATTTGCAAGTTCTACACCATCGCTAATCAAAGCTATCAGCCATTAAGGAGATTGGTAGATATTTCATAACAGCTGCAGCAGCATGAAGTACGCTTATAAAGATAAGGACTGAAATCCTTACGATTATGAAGGTGCTTTATTGCATACCATGTGGGCGTGGATGCACTAAAAGAACCGAAATAAAAAATAAACCTGGCCATTGGATTAGTCGTCATACCTTCACAATTTTTACAGGGCTCATAGATACACTCAATTTTGTTTGACCTCTCAGAAAAGCTGGCTCCTCATCAACTATTTCAATCTCAATGTCCTCATCTGTTAGAAAAAGAGTCATGATGAGATGTAACTGTAAACAAAAAAAGGGCAGATTTGATAGGGAGTGCAGAAATGTTATTAGATAAAACTGAAAAACATTAAACCCATATCTCTTCTGCTGTATTCCAGTAAATCAAATTTAAAATGAATTTTGAATCGTTTAATAGTACCACCAAGATACCGTGGGAATGGTATTCACATTTCTCTTACAAGAAGTCTATTTGCTGTAAAATGGTATTTTAGTTCTTTGTGTGTTATACGTGGAAACAAACGTGGCCCACGTGGCTGACTAAATTCGTGACTGACATACATAGGCTAATGATAAACATACCTAGACTCAACATTCCTTGTCCTATTTTCTCCTCTTTTTTAGTTTAACCAATGAAAGCCTAGATAATACTGGCAGTGCATGCCTTGGGGTAAATCAACAACGCTTACCTGAATCATCATCTTTGGGCAGGATACCAGTCTCTTCATCGAAATCTGGGTAGTCTGCTTTGTCCAATACACCAGCTGAGATAAGCTATCATTAAAACAAAATCAACCCTGCACTGGTTTAAAATTGATACCAGATCAATTTTATATCAAGTTATTAGGATGCGCACACCCAAAATAAAAATATACAAAGGATTTTGTTACTTCCTGAATCTTAATGAGAAAAATTAATGTTATTTGTCTTGTCACCAGTGTGATCACTTGGTTCACAAGAGACACAAGCCCTGCATACTGCAATGTTGATAGCATCGTAAGCATAATTAACAACAGACTTCACTGTACCTCAGGGGTTGAGCAGCAGAGCACATTATCCAAAGGTCAGGAATCGATTCAATATGAGAAACTCTGATCTTTTTCTTTGTCCCATGCTTGTTACAAGACATGTATCTTTTGCTCTGTTTAACTAACAAGATCTAAATCTACCCTATATCTTATTCTACCAACTCTTGTAACAGTATGTATATGATATTTGCCTGTTTTATTTCCCATTTCTCTGGTGACGTTATCCTCTGAACTTTTCGCCTGGAGTTTGGTTCCTCTTCTTCATAGACTGGGACTACAGGGATGCCAGATGGTCTGCAAAAATAACTTATCATCAGTACAATTCAAATGACCAAGTGTAAACTGTTTCAATACACAGTAGGAGGGAAATCATAACTTTGTTACACAACAACCATAGCAATTGTCTCGGCTTGAAAAAATACTTAAAATTAATCTAGACAGAGTTACCAGTACTTAAGACAGGCAAAGAAGATGTGATATTTTTTTGACGTACCTGGCTTGAAAAATTATTTATCAAATCTTGTGTGAGAAGATTTTTTATTCTATTAATCAGATGGCAATTGTCTCATTGGCCCCCAAAATACACGACTTTGCCCACAAGTTTGTACATGTACATGTAGTTAGTTTTTTAACTTAAAACTAGAGACTTAAACTTGATGAACTAGTCTAAGAGCAACTTATGAGCATTGTTCGTGTTACAATATGATAAAATAATTTGTCATTTGCTACATTTTTTATGAGAGTTACTTACAAGCACTAAATATGCATTTGTTCATTTGCTGTTTACCATCATCTAGCATTTAATTTATAGATCTAAATGACCCACTCTTATTCAAAAAGCACAATGTTTATTTGATGACAAACATTTCTGTGAAATGTTTGTGTATAATTATAATATCTACATTGTACCTGTCTGGGTTCCTAGCCATGTTGTTGACCTCACCTCCAACATTTTGTCTAGACCTGGTGGGATTCAGATCTTCTCCCGACTCTTGATCCACATCCTAAGGGAGTACTCAATGGTATTAAAAATCAAGCATAAAATTTCTTCAAAATTGTGAATGTTTATCCCTAAGTTCTAACCCAAACTAACCCACACTAGCTTTGAAATAGAAAGGTGTTTACCTTCATACTCAGACTTATCTTGCTACCAGCCATGGAGAGAACTTTTACCATAACCTTTTGACCTCTATGCACCACGTCACTCACATTAGCTACTCGACCTTCACGGCGCAGCTTTGAAAAAAGTGAACAAAGTACATGGATAAACTACAGCATAATTCAAGCGCAGCTGGTTTTACAAATCAAAGCAACCACTCCACCATCCAACAAGTTACCTGTGACACATGCACTAAGCCTTCATGTCGTCCTCGCAATCCTTCCAATTGAACAAAGCAACCAAACTGCATGACAGTGGTAACTTTTCCACTGTAAATCTGAAGACAGCAAAACATAGAAACTGATATCACAACATTCCTCACACTGGCTAAAGGATAATTTCTGCATACAATCTCAGTAGGCATACCTGGTTCACAACTGGAGTTGTAGGTGGGGCTTTTTCCACATGGCTACTACCATGTCTGTCTCTTGGGTGATTCCTTCCTCTACTTGGAGATCTACTTTTCCTTCTCCTATTGCATAAAACACTGGTCTGTTACCATTCCGTTAGGGCTGCTAGCCTTTCTACCAAGGAATTATTGACCGAAATTGGTCAATATCTTTCTATGAAGAATATTGACAGAGATCTGTTCTACATGTACATGTAACAGGAGTACATGTACATGGCTATCAAATTTTCAAATCCCAGTAAAATGCTAAATTAATGCCAGAGCCAGGAAAAGTTTTAATGAAACAGATCAGATTACTTCTAAGAGAATGGTCGATACTTCCAATCATGTCCACAAGTCAGAAGTGCCCCTAGCGGGTCATACTATTTCATTATTTAGTTCAACAGAAGGTCATTATTCCCATCTCTTTAATTACCTATTCCTTCCTCCCTCGCGATCTCCATCCCTATGTCTGTCTCTGTTGTGCCTTGGACTTCGAGATCGTGACCTTGGTCTTCTTCTATAACAATGTAACAACAACTTAAGATTCCTTTTCACATCATTTAATTAGTACATGTATTTATTATACAACTACCCTCTGTAGAGTACAAATAATGTCTTCATACAGCAATTGTACTCCAGAGAACCAGTTAGACAGGTTTTCTCACATTCTGCAAGTGCCAAATTGGATTGAAGTTACAAACAAAATGCCAGACAATTTACATCATTTTTCTGAAGAGGAAGAGTTGGAATGATCCCAGTTTTATAAGATAAATCAAATGAAGAGAAGCAGTTTGATAATAATGAAATTTCATCATTTATTGTAGAAAATAGAAACAGCAACACAACAATGCATCAATTCCGTTCCACTTCGCATACTTGTGTCACACACTCCTCATATATAAAGATTCGCGAAATTTGCCAACACAGAAGTAACAATTTGGCATGTTGGATAATAAATAACTTGTCAGACATTTTGGTGTGTCTTATTGCTGAGTATTTTATAATAATAATAATAATAATAACAATAATAATAAAGGTCTTTATTAAGAATTATTAAGCAAACAGATGTGCAACAATTAACATGAATAGAATGAATAAGGAAAAAGAAAAGGTATTAATAACTATTGAAAAGACATCTATTAATAAAAACTGATTTAAAACGGCTTGTCTGAACCTTGGGTAAAATATAATTATGCGACCTAGTTTCAACTGCCGTGTTCTCAGGGGAGGTAAGAGATCGCTCAACGCAGTGTTGGTGGAAGAGATCCTTTGCCATAATTACTGGAGAAAGATTTATATGGGGAGAGGTTGTCTGAATGAGACACATAACGTATTTTGAATTCTCGATGTGTGCATTGCCACATTAGCGGTCAATTTTTTCCTGGGGTAGACCATTGAGAGTTGACTCGACAAGACAAATTTACGCTACCCACTTCCCCCGAAGCGGCTAAATCAGCATTTAATTTTCCCTTGGGGTACTCCAGTGACAATTTATCTGTCGTCTGCAAATTTATGCACTACCTACTCTTCCAAAATAGCTAGATTGTGATGCCAAAATTTTTTTCCGATTAGTCACAAACTTTTTCGCGTCGCTTCGGCCAAAGTCCCTCAGCACTATATTCATTGTATCTGATTTATCATCACGGGTTTATTACGAATCCACTTAACGGCCCGCTCCCAGTTGGCTTGTTAGCTCAATTGGTAGAGCGCTGCACTAGTATTGCAGAGGTCAGTGGTTTGAATCCTGTACAGGCCTGATTTTTTTCAGGTCTGATTTTTGCTATTGCATAAATAGCGCTATCTACTGCGAAGGATCGTGCATCATATGTAAAAGGACTATTGTTTACTACTTAATGTGTAAAGTTGAGCTGGAACAATAGACCATTTCTTGATACGGAGGTACTTAAATATTGACTCTGACTTTTTAAATTACCTCAGACATGTATTTAATTGTTTTTCATGTCAATTCTGTTACCCTAAAATCTTGCAATTCCCACTTTAGCTTCATCACTTTTTTTTCATATGCAAGGCCTTTTCAAGGATCTCAATCCACTGTTTCAAGGGATCATTTCCTTCTTACACACAAAACAATAACCCAAGGACAAAAGGCTTGACAAATGGCTACATGACACAAATTTTCTTACATTTATGCAATTATTTTCATTTTTAACTGGACTTGAGCTTAAATCAAGCTGCCTTCTAGCTTTTCTAATTAATACTTGAACAGAATGGGATCACATAAATATTCACATCAACCAAACTTAGTTCAAGAAAATTTAAAACTTTGTTTGCACAAGAGACTTGTTTATCTTGGTTTAAGAATTATCACCTGACTGATAAAAATGGAAAGTAAAACTTGGAAAGGGGAATGGGGAAGGAGTAACCAGGAAAAGGAATCTGGGACAAGGTAATCCACATAAAAATTCAAAATAGTGGATGATGACACAGAAAAAAGGGTCTAAACACCATGCAGTTTTGATCAAGTGCTCTTTTAACATGGTTGTTATGGCAATCAGCCTGGAAGATAATAGAAGTATTTATTGACGGGTTTTTAACTTGACCTTTTTAACTTCAAAAATCTAGATTTATGCTGATATAAAGAGCAAGTTTGATAGAAATTGCATCTTCAGAGAGTTGAGTTTCTCAGAATGAATCATAGGCTATATACAAGTATGCATACATAATGACTACTCTGATGACAGAGTTCAAAGCTTGCTTAAGGATACAGTAGACCTTCTTGGATGTTCCTCAAAATAAAAATTGTTAACCTGAACTAGAAACTACATACAAATGGAAAGGTTATGAAATGACTTGTGTTGTCAGGAAAAAATTGTTTCTTTTTAGCTTGATCCAATTGTAAACCGGCTGAAGCATGAAAATTTGAAATGGACAGTCTCTTTATAAAGCAAATTAATAGAGTCTGGATGCATAAATAAAACTTCTTTCCCTTGTCAATCTTGAGGGGTTGGTCTTTTAAACAGTGTGGGGATTTTTCAATGTTCTCATGGGTTGCTTTGAAGTTTACTTGCTAGTCATGTTTGCTTATCAAAATGTTACAGATATGCATTGTGTCAGAGGCCATTGTAGGAGATTTATCAGAAAAAATGGAAAACCCCCACAATTTGTTTAGATTTGTATCCTGGGGGTTTTTGGACCAAATTTCGAGGCAATCAAGGTATTGTAAGTATTGGTACCTTGATAATTCTCTCACATGAGGCAAATTCACGTAAAAACAAAGTGGTTGTGCTTTTGAAGTTTTGCCAACACTTCACACCTTTTGGTGACCACTTGTCAAGTTATGTCAAAACTCTGAAAAACTATAAATGCTGACTGCCAATTGAAACACATCCTGAGTAGTCTCAAGAGACTCTCAGCAAAAACTTATTTCAATGGGGGTTATCTAACAGCTGCCCATAAAAGACCTTTGGTTCAGTTCTGGGAGCTAACAATTTTTATTTTGACTCTTTTTTTCCCAACTTAAAGCAACTTTTAAAACACTCTATGATTAAACTTGTTTATGGTTTTTGGTCAAATGCAAGCAACAATGATTGCCTAATCCCTTTTGGTGAAATTATTTTGCTAATCTTCTTTTTATCTTTCTCCATTCATAGTCTAGTTTAAAAATGTAGAAATTAGATACTACAGATCACCACATGTGACTGAAATCAAGAGATGTTTATGCAATTGAAATTCAAGGACCAGAATGTTTTGCCACAAAAAAACATCAGCGATCACATGTCATAAAGGCTATTCACACTTTTGCTGACTTGTACACATTTAAATATTTCACAAACTTTTCTTGGAAACTGTTGTTAAAAAGAAATCATGCTTAGTTTGACTTGTTAAAATGCATCAACATTATGGAAGTTAATGTTGCCATGGTTGCAATTTGTTTTGGTGATTGAAATCACAATTGGAATTTCCATGTGTTTGGTTATGAAGTAGTTTACCTTCACAATTATAATACAGTATTTGCATTAACTATGAAAAGCAAATTTTCTCTAAAATTTCCTAACAAATTTTCAGGAATGGAAACCTATTGAAATTTAGAGACTCACTAACATCCCCTGTGAGTAAATCTACCCAATTTCAGATGGATCCAAACAACAGCCACATCAAAACACTCAGAGAAATGTCATGGAAGCCTGTCTGAGGCAAAAGTTCGATAAAAAGCCTGAAAATTTGATGACAGGTGTTTGTATAACTTTTGCACAATGCATGTTATGTAAAAATTATACCCACCTCTCCTAAAGCTGATGATGCCACTTGTTCATCATCTTCACTTCCCTAACCAAAAGATAACCACACACAAGAAAATGTAAAATAAAAATTTTTGAATAGCCAAAAATGCACAAATTATGCACTTAATAGGATATTTAATGCTGTCTAATTGCTAATACATTTTACTTACTTTACTTATACTCTCACTCATTTGATCTGGTATGCAAAGTCCTGGGAATGCCTTTCTCTTTATCTGCACTGCAGCTGCAACTTTGTTTTCATTAACAGAGGAATCTGGGATCATTAAACAAGTGACAACATTAATTTTAAATTAGTTTTCTATATATTTATTACCATTGAAACAGGACTATAGAGTGCACCAGTTGACACATACTTCTAAAAAATGCTGTATTGGGGGGATATGGTGGACCTTCAAGGGCCAATTTTGTTGAGTTTTGCATTCTATCAAACTTTACAAACAGTTTCTCAGAAAATTTTCATGAAATAAAATTATTGAAAGGCACACATTTTATTAAAAAAAAAAAGAAAAAAAAAATTGTCAACATAATTATATGACTGACCCACTTCTAGCAAAACATCCTAGTTCTTGAACTTAAATCATGTAATCATCACAGATACTCCTAAGATACCAACTTATAAAAACAGTTGTTGGTAGGGATTTACATTTTATCAAAATTGATCTCCTGCAATGATCTCCTTCATAACATCTACTGCTAAAATTTTGATAGGCAAACTTGGAGAAAAATTGCAATGAAACCAATAAGAATAACAAAATTAACATTTCCACACTGTAAAGCAGCTGAAGACCAACCCCTCAAGACAGAAATTGTGTACAAGTTTTATTTGGACAGTCAGATTTGACACTCATGACAATTAGTTTGCTCAGTTGGTTTACAATTACATCAAGCTAAAACAGAACAATTTTTGTTGGATAGTGAATTTCATAACTTTTCCATTGATATCTTATAAGTTATGTTCCAAAAACCTTATCAGGGATCATAAAACACGTGAATTTATTAAAATAAAATTACATGTAAACAATTTCTTTGTGAAGGACACATGCAACGGTCTGCTGTATCCTTACGTGATGACACAGAAGAAAAAGAATGAAAAACTTGGAGAGCAACTAAGACCTGTATATCCATGTACATTTTAAAGCTCACACTTTGCATTTTAATGAGCTTATTGTGAGTAGCTTGTACCCTTTTAGCGAGTTAATAAATACATCTATCTCCAATGTTAGCAAAAAGGTCCAATTCTGTACTTAGAATTTGTAAGCCCTACATTAGGGAACTTAAACCTCATGAAATACTCTAACATCATAAGTCTTTGAAGGTACTCTGCGATAAAGACACTTAGAGATCAATTACATGAATATCACTTCAAACCTGGTTTATCATCACGTTTTTCCAATCTAGGTTTCATTTTTTGAATCAGTCTCAACAAGTTGGATGCAAAAGAGTCCTACAAATGTAAACATGCAGAAAATTATTTATAATATTGGCATAATTCTAATATGATACTATCTGATAATAATTAAAATCATTATCCTCTATCTGGCCAGTTACATACCATGATTTAGGCTCTTATGTGGGGTACAGGTAAGAATGGAATTAAGTTATTAAATGATTTCTAAAGTTGATTACACTTTTTTTAATCAATAAAGTTAATAAAGTATGTGACTATGTACTGTGCAGTGTTTTTTAATTTTTTTGAATTTGCTAGTCAAGACTAAAGGATGGGCTGTTCAGGGGGGAGGGGGCACAGGCACTTTTTAAGCCATAACATTTACATAATGAAATCCTTAACAGGTTTCAGTTTCCATGTAGGTCAAACCCTCCTGTTACAGTGCACTATCACTTACGGGAAATTCAGCACCATTTTCTGCTAAAGCTGCCTGAAACTTGTCAAGAGTAGTGTTCCTTTCTCCTAGCATGATTATAAACTCAGCTAAGTAATCAAAAAAAGAAAAAGAAACAGCTTGAAAAAAATACCCATAAATGATTGAGACAATCTTTCAGATACACATTTACTCAAAAACTTTGGAAAGCATAATTATTACTGATCTGTCTGTCTTATATGAAGCTACAGTATTAACAATGAATAGTAGTGATATGGGGAAGTCTTTTCGCCACAGTCAGAACAATGTTCAACATACATCTATATCATGGTGCCTAGATCCTTGTTTCCAAAAAATTTGCTCTACAATACAAAATGATACTCTACAGTCCTACAGAGTTTCAGTGGCATTGGTATATAACACTGACATGGTTCTGTCTATTTACAGTAAAATCTTCTTTGCCAAGTGAAACCATATGGATATCAATTCGACAATTAGTTTCATGAAATGGATATGCATGTAATGCATGGGTTTTCCAGTGAAGTAAGCAACAATACAAACCTGAAACAAAACTGAGGGCAAACAAGTGCAACTTTGTCCCTTAATTGCTTATATCAATCTGTCTTGGATTGTTATTATTCAAAATATTAGAAATCTGTTAGATTCCTCCAACTTTTTAAAGGTATACAGAACTGTCCAGTAGATACACCACTCTCATTTCAATTTATATTGAACAAAACAAATTGACCTCAATATACCATATTTCAGTTCCTAAATAACAAATAGATTCCACATGGTTGCCCCAGTCATACAATTATTGTAAAATTCCATGATTTTCCCCTGGCAGATAAAAATGTCCTTGACCAACTGAATTAACAATAATCTTAAATGAACCCTGATAATGGCTTCCAACTGCCACTCACAACCACCCTCTCCACCCACAACTTTATGCTTTCAGCATGTCACCTACAGGCTGTAAAGTGGACACAAATTGAGAGTTTTTTTTGCACAACAAGGTAAAAGGGTTAATTGGAAATAGCTTGTTGTTCAATTTCGTTTGACAAAATTCTAGCAATCCAACACCTTTCATGTCAATGAAATCTAATATAGTCCGAATATCAGAAAACAATGAAAATAGAAGAATCACAAATGATGAACGCATCAGGAATCTGTCAACTGTACTAAGCAGTGTAAACATACATGCATTTTAAGCAACATCAACATCACTACCATCTTTCATCATGAAGAGGGCCCAGGAAAGATGACTTCCCTCATATAATGTACAGAGCAGTTAAATGATACAGGGACTCTGTAGGCTACTACCATGCTGGCCCTTCAGCATCACAATTGCAAAACAGTTCTGATAGCACTACTGAAAGCTACTGTATGTAGGTTAACTTGGCATCCGTTATTCTTGCAGAACAGTACAGTGAACATTCTTAAGGGTCACACTCAATCAGAATGCAGCGAGGTGGCCATTTTAAGCATTTTCTATGTTACAGAAAATAACACCAACTGTGTATGTGACATCATTCAGCAAATTGCAAATTTGATCGATAACCTGCTTTATTTTTTAACTGCATTTATTTTCTTAAAGTGCTGCACAGAGGCCAAGTTACAGAAAACTCCTCTCAAAACCTGGGTGGCTGTCAGACAAGTAAACTAGCAGTTATGACTGATCACAAGCCTAATATTTAGTAAGTTTTTGAGTCAGCTTTCTCATTCAGGGATATGTTTCTCTCAAATTTCACCATGCAGGGTATCCTCTATTGTTTAAGCATAACTTGAAACTCTCTACACTTTTATCCAGAAGGGGCATGTCAGATTTGTCCTTTCTTTGTGGCTGGTGGATGACACAAATAAAAATTCATGCATTGGAAGGTCTCTGCGTCTTTTGCATGTCAGGGGTTAATTCCCAGTTAAATCTCTTGCATTTGTACACTTTTGTGTCCATGCAAGAACATAATATCTAAGTCTGATATTTAAGCTGTGAATGTGATCACATCATGATGCTGTTTGGACCTACCTTACAAATTCTTCAATTTTGTGTTTGGTTATGCTTTACAGACAGAAAATCTTGTCAAAATACCTCTTTCAAACTAGCAGGTTAGTCGTGCTCTGGTAGATAACATCTTTTTCCTATTGTTGCAATGAAAATATTGGCAATTGAAAAGTTTCAGCTCTTCTGTAGGTTTCTGTTGTTGAGTGTTAATAACAAACTTCCTGCTCTGTTTGCCGCCAACTACGGTGTAGTAAGTCAACAGGAAGATCACAAAGTGTCCATGAACACTGTTGTATATTCAAAGAAACTTGCTTTGGAAATGGCTTTTGTTTTACAATCCTCAGAGAAATATTTTACTTCAAACTATCTATAATGCCTAATTGTCAGCTATCAGATTATTCTGTTGAGAGAAGTTTTTTTTCCCACACATTAGGCTATTATGAAATGTTCAAGATGTTAATCGCCTTCTGAAGCATCATGACAGGAGCTGTAAAAAAAAACACCTTTAGTTTTGGGCATAGTTTGCTGCTTTAAACTACAAAATGCTCTCTTTTCATAGCCAAGATTTTTCTTTAAAGTTTCCATGATGCACCAATCACACTCACTGATAAAAACCTACTTCATTCTCGTACAGTGAAAAGGTTAATTTTGTTTTGACATGAAAAATGAGCACTTAAGAATTATTACCCAAACATATTTCAGTTCTGACAATAGGATTGATTACTGTGTAGTCAAAGTCTTCATGGTATTGTTAGAAACCAAGATAAAGTTTGTTAAGCATAAGAAACTTGTGTGAGTATGAAACAGGTACATGTATACCAACCTAACAATGCTTCATTTTGTTGTTATAAAGGAACAACCCTTTTTGAATCTTCATGGTGTGGTTGCGCTTTAGCAATGAAGATTTCTTGACTTTAGTGCCTATTTACAAACTGTAAGTCTGATCTTTTAGGTCTTTTGTTTCTTCAGGCGCCTTGACTTTTTTTCCAGGCGACATGACTAAAAATTTTTTTTGCAACATGACTCAGGTTGCAGGCGACATAACTTCATGTGACATGACTCTCAGGCAACTTGACCAGTTACCCTATGAACGGGTCTTGGAAGAGACGTCTCTGCTCTTTTGTCAAGACTAGTATGCATCTGGTCTTATTCGCCTACTATTCATGTTTGATGAGCATATTTTGGTCCCTTATCTTTGAGCTGTACCCTAAATTTTCCCTGACTCAGTGACATTCCCTCACTTTCCCAGATTTTGAAGGAATTTATTTTCCCTGACTTTTTCCTGACCTGTGAGCGACCATGTTCCAAATCTCCATATCTCTGTAAAAATTAAGTCATCGATCGCTGATGACATCAAAAGAGGACAAAAAAGGGTCACTTTGTGTAGCTGTATTTGTCACTCTTGTTCTTATCACATTTTGACGTACTTTGAGATCTATTATTTTACAGATGCATGGCAACATGGAAGCTATTTGTCCCATAAAAATAAAGAAGCAAAAAGGGGTTCTGTCCTCGTGTACCGGTTCACAAGAGCCAATACAAAAGACCAAACAATACACAATAGCTAACCAATAACTCCTAAACAAAGAAAGAACAATGGTGATTCCCTTGTGAACCGGTACACCAGGACAGAACCCAAAAAGGTTGATAATGTGCGGTGGTACCTTTCATGACCTCCAATTGCGATTGAACATAAGTATAAACCGATCAAAATGTGCGTATCCTTCAAATAAATTCAGCTTAATTCTAAATATTTGCAGTCAAACCACGAACAATCGGCTGCACCTCTTGGTTTCATTGTAGTTTTAAACTGTTTTGATGTCATTATTTGAAGTTGTAAAAAGGAAATAAGAAATAAATAACGTATACAGATTTCTAAATAAGACGATTCAACAACCTCACCTAGATCTTTGTCATTGATACCCAAGTGATTGTCCAATTCAGTACAAATCTTAGATACAAGTGATAGTTGTTCGAGCTGTTGAAGTTCTTCCATGGTTGAAAAAAAAAAAAACTGCTGAAGCTAGAGTTTGCCTCTGGTGTCACGTTTAGCATCATGTATGACGCGTGAACTGTAGCCACCCTAATGGCAACTTCAAATAATATGAAGTAGCTGTTAGAAAGTATGACTTCTGCTGACTACCTGCTCACTAAACATTTCATATCCCTTTCATAGAGATTTCGTATGATGGTGAAATCGGTGAGATCGTAAAGTTAAGAAGAAACTACCGGCGAAACCTCGGTGTGAAACCTTGTTGAAACAATTGGTGAGACCCGAAACGCCGAAACTTCTTGATACTTTTGGTTGCTATTACTATTTTCAATCTTTAAAATTGAAACCATGTGATTCGAAAGGGAGATTACCAACCCACGATTAACTGCTTATGTGTATGGAAAGAGGAAGGAAACGAGAGGTAACGATTTTTTTCGTACCTGCCGATATAGTAGTTAATTTTAAATTTGCAGTGCTCAGCTAATAAGCTATTAGTAAAGGTGGCAATTGCCAGGAATGGCCTGATATTGGTTCTGTCCTGGTGTACCGGTTCACAAGGGAATTACCATTGTTCTTTCTTTGTTTAGGAGTCATTGGTTAGCTGTTGTGTATTGTTCGGTCTTTTGTACCGGCTCTTGTGAACCGGTACACGAGGAGAGAACCCTGGTATTTAATGTGAGACGGAATTCCTTAAAATTCTCAACTCCACGAATTAGTTTTCTCAAATTATCTCAGCACAGAGGTCAGGTTCGATTCTATAACCCTTTCACTTGCCCTAGGAATACGACCCTTGGTTTATAGTTTCCTTTGAAAACCTAGGGTTTTGAGTGACACTATTTTCTCCTTGAAATTCTTAGTGTCCTTCCTCAGGCGGTGTTGTTTGAAACATTTCGCATTTCTCTCAGCTAGGATACCATTTGACCAAGCATCGCGAGTCGCTTCCCCCCCCCCCTCCAAAAAAAATTTGCTATTTGAAGCATAACAGCCATTAACTATATATCAATAGAAAAGCTATGAAATTCACTCTATGGAAAAAAACTATTTCACTGTAGCTTCTTCTAATTGTAAACCTTACGGGATGCAACAATTTGAAATGGACGATGGTTTCTTTGAGTGAATTAATTGCATATCAAATCTAAGCACACAATTAAATCTTCTGTGCAATTTAAATCCTAAGGGCATTTTTCAGTATTTGTATTGGTTGCTTTGCAATTTATCTGTCAAGTTTGCTGATCAAAATTATTTCACCAATATGCATCATGTCGGAGGCCATTGCTGGAGATCCATTTTGTAAAACGGATTTCCCCACACGGTCATTTAGGTTACTATCTTGGTGTCTCTCGGACTAAATTTCAAGGCAATCCTTAAAGGTCATGCTCCCTATTAATTTGTTCAAAGAAGGCACATCAATTTTGTGTAAAAACGAAATGGGTTTATTTTGCTTCCAAAGTTTTCCTAACAGCTCATATCTTTGGGTGACCATTTATGTCAAGGTATCTCAATACTCTGAAAAAATTAAAGGGCGGACGGCAAATAGAAACATAGTCCTTCAGAGTCTCAGCAAACAAAGTCATGTATTTTGCAGTAAACTATCAAACAGTTACAAAGGTACTAGTGACACACCTTTAGTTCAATTTGGCTTAACAGAAATTTTAATTTCAACTCCTTTTTTCAACTTAAAAACAGCTTAAGCATGCCACGGCAAAACTTGATGGTTGCTAGAGAAGACTGCTTAAACCAATTTCTTTTGCCATTGGGCATCAACTTTCATTACCTCTCGTCCTGCCAGCCAGGCTTCTTTTTTACTTTCATTGATGGACTCTTCTCCTTTCTATCTTTCTCCATTCATATTCTAGTTTTAATGCAGACAGATAGCAAAGATCTCAGTGTGCCATTAAAATCAGAAGAGGTGTATGTGATTGAAATTCAAAGACCAGGATGTCTTACCACAAGAAACCCTGTGGGAGTCATTTATGTTGACATATTATGACTGCATGGCTATTCATACTTTGGTGGGCCAAAGAATTTAGTTTGGAAGTATGGCCTTTCAATATTTTGCCTACATTTTTTTGGAACTATAGTTAAAATGATAATGCTTAGTTTGAAATGAAAAAAAAATTGGCCCTTGAAGGGCAGCTGTATCCTTAACAGCTTACTTGTTTTGTTTTGATATTGGAATAGTGTTGTAAAGAAAAAAAACAAAACTAGTTTGTACAAGATCAATATATTAAGTTTTGTGTCTGAGGCAAATATTTGCATAAACCTGCTGACCCGGTGCATTCAAAGTCATGGGATTACCTAAACATACCTTTTGGAAACATAGAGGTAGGGTGAAGGTTGGCTGCTCCATTACATCCAAAATTGCCAATTGGCGCCTTGAGAATGTTGACCTTGGAACCCTAGTGATATTATTTTCATTATGAATAAGAAATCCTTTGAAATGAACAGAAATTCAAGTTGTGCAGTGGGTCAGATTTTCAAGTTTGACTACTGGTACTGATCACTTGCACCAAACTAACTAATCTCATCCTATGATTTCAAATCAAGTTTTCTTCCTGAGTTCAAGGTCCCAGACAATAACCAAATAGGATTTGTTACAATTAGTCAGACATGGACTTGTATACATAATAACCTGAACCACATGCTTTGAAAGTTGGTCTTAAGTGCTATGATCTAATTTGTTCTTCGTATTTCCCTACCATTTATATTTATTAAAAACAGGATTTTACTATGTCAGAAGAGGGTGTATCTACAGGCTCTGATGATGTAATGGCAAGTACTGAAGGTGATGGAGAGAAACGAGGCAGAACACCACAGTCAGTAAGAAAGCATGGTAAAGGACGAGCCGCAAGTAGAGGAAGAATTTCTAATAACAATAGGAGGCTTGCATCCGCACAAGGTCGGCACTCTCCTGGTACTGGTAGCTCACTAGGATACAGTGGTCCACATGGTAATGACCAGAAATACGCATCAAGTAAGGATGACCAGGGCTGCCAGCTTGAAGACAAAGCCCGATGTACAATGAAGCAAATTGATCATGATGAGAAAGAGGAATTGTTTGGAGAGCAAGATGCTGTGCCAGAATCACAACAAGGGGTGTGTTACCAACCCACCAAGATAAAGGCAGAGGCCTTAGGAAGAAAACAAACAGCCACCCCCCCAAAAAAAGACATGGCTAATGGCTCCTCGAGAACTAGAGGAAAAACTGTTAAAATTTCAATGGACAAGTCAAGGGGAAAAGGAAGCAAAAGAAATAACTCATTAGGTACAAGAGGACTTAGAGGATATCCCAGTGGCAACAGTGAATTTACACCTATATGTTATGATAGTCAAGAATTCCATGATGACCTTGCTATGCAAGAAAGAGATTTCCATAAATCCAAGATTTCCACCAATATGGACTTCCTAAGCTCTGTAGGGCAGCCTTATTTTAATTGCAGTGAACATAAATACAGATCCAACAAACTTGACATTCCAGATGGTAGCCAGAAGGGACAAAAGGGAGTGACTTTTGTAAGGCCGACAGGAAAGAGAGGCAATATAAGGGACTACAAAAAACAGAAGGAAGAAGTTCTTCGAACACTCAGTTATCTCAATCCACTTCAGTCATCTCAAGCCAGTGTTTTGATAGAACAGCTGAGGAATGAGACATATGAATGTATGGTTTGCTGTGAAAGGATTCGATGCAGTGCTGCAGTGTGGAGCTGTTGTAGTTGTTATCATTTGTTTCACTTGGGCTGTGTGAGAAAGTGGGCAAAATCCTCGGTGGCTACACTTCCAGAAGGTATGTCAAATGTCACATGTGAAAAGGAATCTCAGTTTTGAAAGTGTGCTGTACCCCCAAGTATAATCCAGGAATTCAAAAAAGGAAGTTGTGATTTGCCAATTATCTACATCAATAATACGACTAATGAAGTCTGCCCTATCAAGCTTAGTTCGGGGAATCATTGTACTTCCAATTTGATTTCATTATCAATGCAAAACTGAAAATTCTTAAGGGCTATAACGTACGTGTATATCTTTCCTCATGCTTCCAACTTGGATAACTCTACAAGCATTTTGACTGTCAGAAAACCATTTGATGTAAGCGCCTTTAATGATGAAAATAACGAAAACTGACAAGGGCGGGCGGGTAGGGCTACAACTTCGATGTCAGTGTGAAAAGCGAGAGTGAGAGGACTAAATCACACTGAACCGTCTATAAATACTGAAACCGCACCAATCTGGAATACCCAGGGGAGACGCCCCAAATAATGTGTGACCTACAGTGAATAGAATCAACAATGAAACAAACTGTTAATGAACTGTAAACTCTGTATACCAGCAGAAAATATATGTTTAGAAAAAAGTTTTTGAAAGGAAATCTAAAGAAATCACAACTAGTATTGTCAACAGACATAATTTATATGCATCTGATGTGCATATTGTACTAGTCTGCTAAGTCCTGTAATCCTTGAGCTGTACCATTCATGTGGGTTTTATACTAACTGAATTTTGGCATGCAGTTTTTTGTTTTTTGTTTTGAGTTTTTTTTTGTGAGACAGTAGTTTGGAACTAGCTTTCTGGGCAGTTCTTTTGTTAGAACTTAAACAAAATATTCTCTTACTGAATGATGAAGACGGAATGTAGAGACAGTTTTGATAAATTATCCTTTGAACACTTGATTGCAACTGCCAGCCAAAAAGCTTGAGAAACACGTTTGTCCAGTTACTTGACTTGTAAACAAATGCTTCAGGTAAAATGTTCAGCTCTAAGTGCATAGTGGAATCATCAATTGAAAATACTACTATTTACCTTCCAACACATTACTTTAAGTCCTTCAGAATTTACTTTTATTATAATTCCATGTAACTTTACTTTAGGTGATGAAATTGGTGGTTGGCGATGTCCAGGCTGTCAAAATATTACTCAGGAGATTCCAACTGTCTACAAATGCTTTTGTGGTATGGAGTTTCTGTCATTTTCATTTACTTTCAGAGGTTTGTCCAATACACCCAAACTGTTGCAATTTGTCACTTGAAGCAGTTTTGTGAATCTCTTGTGAGATGGAAACACATAGCGGAAGTCAATTTGCAAGACACTTAGAAAATTTTCCACTAGTAACTACCAAAGGGCCTGGAAGGTGTTGTGGAATTGACTCAAATCAAACAACTTGTCCCAGTTAAAGTTGACCCATCACACAGAAAGTTGAGTTGAAAGACATTTAGAAAATATTCCACAGTGGCTATGAAGGGGGGTTGAAGGTGTTGTTGATTTGATTCAATTTGACTCAAATCACACAACTTGTCTCTGTGAAAGTAGACCCATCCTACAGCAAGTTGTTTTGTAAGACACAGAAAATATTCTGCAAGTGGCTATGAAGGGGGATCGAAGATGTTGTTGAGTCAACTCAATTGTCTCAAATTGAACAACGTGTCTCAGTTAAAGTCAACCCATCATACCAGAAGTTGATTTGCTAGACACAAAGAAAATTCTCAGAAAGTGGCTCCAAATGGGGGTTGAAGATGTTGTTGATTTGATTCCAGTCAAATCAAACTTTACTAATATTGAGTTGAGTCGACCCGTGCAAATTGTGTCGATTTGTCAACAATTAATGCCCCAATTTAACACTGTAAGAATGAAGAAAGTTCATCTTTATTGTTTATAATATTCTGACAATGGACTTCCTGCTGTTTCATGCTTTAACAGCATGGAAGGTTCATGTTGTCTATTTCTGATACCATGCTACTCGTTTTCATACCTTGCTCATGCTTCTCAACTTCCAGTATGTTAATGCAGGATTTGACCTCTGGTGTAGTGTGCTACTGATGTAGTGTGCTACTGGTGTAGTGTGCTACTGATGTAGTGTGCTACTGGTGTAGTGTGCTACTGATGTAGTGTGCTACTGGTGTAGTGTGCTACCGGTGTAGTGTGCTACCGGTGTAGTGTGCTACCGGTGTAGTGTGCTACCGGTGTAGTGTGCTACCGGTGTAGTGTGCTACCGGTGTAGTGTGCTACCGGTGTAGTGTGCTACCGGTGTAGTGTGCTACCGGTGTAGTGTGCTACCGGTGTAGTGTGCTACCGGTGTAGTGTGCTACCGGTGTAGTGTGCTACNATGTTCAGCTCTAAGTGCATAGTGGAATCATCAATTGAAAATACTACTATTTACCTTCCAACACATTACTTTAAGTCCTTCAGAATTTACTTTTATTATAATTCCATGTAACTTTACTTTAGGTGATGAAATTGGTGGTTGGCGATGTCCAGGCTGTCAAAATATTACTCAGGAGATTCCAACTGTCTACAAATGCTTTTGTGGTATGGAGTTTCTGTCATTTTCATTTACTTTCAGAGGTTTGTCCAATACACCCAAACTGTTGCAATTTGTCACTTGAAGCAGTTTTGTGAATCTCTTGTGAGATGGAAACACATAGCGGAAGTCAATTTGCAAGACACTTAGAAAATTTTCCACTAGTAACTACCAAAGGGCCTGGAAGGTGTTGTGGAATTGACTCAAATCAAACAACTTGTCCCAGTTAAAGTTGACTCATCACACAGAAAGTTGAGTTGAAAGACATTTAGAAAATATTCCACAGTGGCTATGAAGGGGGGTTGAAGGTGTTGTTGATTTGATTCAATTTGACTCAAATCACACAACTTGTCTCTGTGAAAGTAGACCCATCCTACAGCAAGTTGTTTTGTAAGACACAGAAAATATTCTGCAAGTGGCTATGAAGGGGGATCGAAGATGTTGTTGAGTCAACTCAATTGTCTCAAATTGAACAACGTGTCTCAGTTAAAGTCAACCCATCATACCAGAAGTTGATTTGCTAGACACAAAGAAAATTCTCAGAAAGTGGCTCCAAATGGGGGTTGAAGATGTTGTTGATTTGATTCCAGTCAAATCAAACTTTACTAATATTGAGTTGAGTCGACCCGTGCAAATTGTGTCGATTTGTCAACAATTAATGCCCCAATTTAACACTGTAAGAATGAAGAAAGTTCATCTTTATTGTTTATAATATTCTGACAATGGACTTCCTGCTGTTTCATGCTTTAACAGCATGGAAGGTTCCTGTTGTCTATTTCTGATACCATGCTACTCGTTTTCATACCTTGCTCATGCTTCTCAACTTCCAGTATGTTAATGCAGGATTTGACCTCTGGTGTAGTGTGCTACTGATGTAGTGTGCTACTGGTGTAGTGTGCTACTGATGTAGTGTGCTACTGGTGTAGTGTGCTTCTGGTGTAGTGTGCTACTCATTATCACTCATAACTCATGCCCCTCATCTTCCGATATGTTAATGCTGGATTCGACTCTGGTGTGTCAATTTGTCAAAAATCAAAGACAACTCAATATGGATATTATGTAGTTTCAAGATGCTGAATTTTAGCAATCGCCTTTAATGGCCCATTTTTTCATCTCGTATCAGTCTGAGTCATAGAAAACAATTAATTTAGATCATACCTGTCAATGAATAGGGAAAGTTGTTGCTCCTGAGTGGAGACGTCATGAAGGGTTGACACCTCACAGTAAGTATTAGTTCAGTAAGTATTAGTTATTGTGCATGAAGCGTTCAGAATTGTTTTCATTTTTAGAACAGATTGTAATAAAGGAGTCACAAGGAGGGTGGTTAGGCAGTGTGTGCCAAAGAAAAACTGAAAAATGCTAAAAAAGTTTGTAAACCACGCGGCTGGGCCTCATGGTTAACAAACTTGCCTTGCGTTCCCCCAGTATTCAGCATGGTTTATCAGGTGGTACACTGATAGAAAGTGTGGTTAGTTAATGATTGAACTCAGCTGGAAGCTTTGGGGAATACAGTGCAGTTCAAAGATGAAAATATATGCAAAAAACTATATAAGTGATATAAGTGTAGCCCTTGACCAGGTGCAACTAGTCTTAATGGAGGAACCATATAGGTCTAATAGTAGATGCATCTGCCTAATTAGTATGTATAAGGTAGCTGATTGATTTCTCCATTGTGGAATGGTCATTCTTTATTTCAGTGGGCATTGTATTTGCTATAGAACTGTTGCTTAAACTGCACTGAATATTCATCAATTGTCTTGTGTTTCTTACAGCTGTGTTCTTACAGCTGTGTTTATTTATTCACTGCTGTGGTCCAATGAACTTTACCTAGTTTTTGCTTGCTTGCAAATTTCATTGAGGTTTGCTTACCAAATAACACAGTATGGTTGAGCTCATCATATTTCAAAGAATGAAAAAGTCACTTTAAACTGATCATTTTGTGTAATCCAAGATAAATCTTGTCTTTGAAAAGAGAGCAATTTGTAATTTGGATCAGCTAATTATACCTAGTAAAATCCAAGAGATAACTTTTTTACAGTTCTTGCTGTAACAGTAGATGAAAAAATAATTATTTTTGAGAGCTGAGATTGTTGTAACATAATTATAAGCTATCGGGGGTTCATAATGTTTAATGCCCAGAGACTAGTAGTCATGCCTGTTGTCTCTTTCATGGAATGAGTAGCCAGTCTACCCTTTAATAGTTGGTGTCCTCCTTTGTTTTTCAGGTTGTGGAGAAATATGTGGAAAACAGAGAGATTCACTTTGCCAACATCGCTGTAATCAGTAAGTAATTTGTCTTCAATTAATCTCTTTTCCTGTAAATGTTAAAAAATGAATGGTCAGATCATCTATTTAATTTAGTTGTTTTTTCTATGGCTAACAAAATGGTTAATTGAAAGGAAAGTCATCACCTTACATCCAATAAAGCAGAATCTAACCTGACTATGCATTAATCAATTCAAACCGAACCATTAAGTTAATGAGGTATTGTGTATTCCATCAACAAAATCTAATTATTTTCAAGAAAAGTGATAATCACAGTCATAAAAAAATATTGCGGTACAGTAGTGTCACAACTTGACAATAAATTTCATTGAATTCTCAAGAATTAATGGCTGAATTTTAATAATGGTTCAAATTACAAAAATGTATATGGCCTTCTGGTTAAAAAAAGAAGCAGATGCTATGGAATGCACTTTTCATGATACTTCAGTCTTTATCATTGCTTTCTGGGATTGGGATACTCAGGGAGGATATGCAAATACCCCTCAAAGATCTACAACTGCTAAACAGAAATGTTGCTGCTGGCAAAAGCCCACTTGAGCATTCGCAAGAGGCAAAAGAGTTAAAAATTTCCATTAGAGGGTTAAAGCATGTGATTGCATCAAGCATTTATTTGTTCCTATCTAATGGGCAAAAACAACATACAGTACTTACTAAGGACTTAGGACTCGTAAGAATGGGCTGATTGATAAATAGCAAGGATAAAGTGAGAAAAGGGATCATGTTTGAATTTTGATCACCTATCATTAATTTTGCTTTGATTTTAGTAAAAATGCCTATTTTTTAGTGAGTGGTTTGGAAATCGTAGATCTTTTTCTAATAAAAATGAATTGACCAGAGAGATTCTAAAGGTGCTTTCATCTTCTTTTGGAACCTCTTATATTTAATGTAGAAAAGTAACTTGACTCTCTTGAAAGAAAACCAAAAAAAATTAAAACATTAGCTCATATGACACAGTTAACCCATTAACGTCCAGTGCGCCCGTATGCGCCCATGGGGACCCACACCCTTTCTACGCCCTGTGACATCATCAATTTTAACTCTGGAGCACGAATTCGAGCATGTACTTGAACGGGTTGAAAATATCTTGCAGACGATACCAGAATGAGCGCAATTGAGTGGAGGAGATTGGAGAAATAGCCAAAAAACCGTGTCACTTTGACTGGAAAATCTGCACGAAGATCGTGTTTCACTACCCACCTACCTTTCCGAGCATGTGCTTTGAAAATAATGAGTAGTTTCTGAAAAATCTCTACACCAAAATGAAGCCTACTCAATTTCCAGCAAGTGAGGAGAAACTTTAGGCAAGGAGAGGGGAAAAAAAGGGCAGGAGAAAGAGAGAAAAGTAGAAGTCGTAAGTGGGGCGTGACTTTTCAACCCAAAAACTATGTCGAAATTTTGCTCTCTGCGCGTGCCCGAGATTTTCAGGCCGCCATTTTGCATTTGGATCGAAAGGCCGTCGAGTGCACGAGCTGTCAAGTGGTTTTTGGTAAGTTAGAGCTTTTAAAACCCCAACAGTGACCCGAAATCTGCTGGACTAGCTTCAAAACACAGTTTTCCACAAAAGCTGCGGCCATTAATGGGTTAAAGTTATGCAATAAAGCAATGTGTCAAACATGATAAGACCAGTATTTACCATGGCCTTTAAATCAAAATCACCACAGTGTATCTCTTTCCTCAATCATGGCACTTTATGCCTTCTGTTGAAAGCTTTGCTTCATACTGTGCCTGCTGGAAGGTTTTTGCTGATTGACTATTGTCTTAACTTTTTCACTCCCAAGATTTGATTAGTAATTCTCCTTACTATCTACAATGCAATTCTTATGATTTTGGTTCAGAGAATTTGGATCAACTAATAATTCCCTTTTTGATATTGTTCTTTATCCTCATCACTTGTCTACTTGATATTACATTGATATTGTAAGGAGGAATTCTGTCTTGGTCACTCATGGGAGTTAAAGGGTTAATAGGGTTTCTACAGATGTATAAGAATAACTGATGACAACATGTGTCAATGTTCAATCAACACGATTGAATCATGCTGCAAGTACTGCATTTCTGCATGTTTGAACATCAAACTGGCAATTCATTGATAAACGTGACTTCTCAGCCCTGCTTTCTTTCAGTTTAAGTCCAAAGTGCAGAAAATGCATCAGGAAGATGCAGATGCTTTGGAATGTTTTTTTCATGCTCTTTTAGTGTGCACTTTCTTCATTGTAATCAAGGAACCTGTAGTCCAAGTCCATTTGGTACCTGATCTGGAAAAAGATATATGTCTGACAAACAAATGTTTGTCATGTTTACATCTGATTCAGAGATATTTAATAGCGCCTTAACTCATCAATATTTTAATGGCAGGAAGTGAAACAGAGTGGAATAGTTTTTGATTCAAGACTCATTACACCATTCTTCAGATTTTAATGGATGTCCCGTAAAGTTAGCATAATGACTCTCAAGAAACAAGTCTTAAGACTAACTTTGTAAATGTTGGTTTGATTGCAGGCTCTGTCATCCAGGACCCTGTCCTTCTTGCCCTGTGATGATAACGAAAGCTTGTTCCTGTGGAAAAACAAAGTATCCTCATGTTCATGACTGAATTCTTTTTATTAAAATAATCGATATTATCTAGACGAGAAAAGTTTTCCCAGAGTTACACCTCTCTGGCTGTATACATTTCTGTGTAAAGTGACCTAGAAGTTTAGTCACTTTGTTGGTTCAGTGAGCATAGACTGAGTAATTCATTTGGATATCTACCTGTGAACAATGTGTGCTTGTTATGTAACTGATTTGAAGTCTTGAATTGTTGATGTGGTGTCAGAATAATTTTAGAATGTGCATGTAATTCCCTTAAAAATGGAACAGGAATCACATTAGGTGTGGTCAAGCGACTGTCATACTGTGTGACCAAGTCTGCAGCAAAATTCTGAACTGTCTCACCCACAGGTGCACAAGAATTTGTCACCAAGGTATCTGCTTATGGTGGGATAATTATAGTCAGAATCAATGTCCAGTGAAAGCAGCTCAATACAGCTTTTAGGAAAAACTTTCAGGCAATATTCTTCAGTTATTTTTTTAGAGTTTCATTTTATGCTTACTTTTATGTGCCTTGTCTTTTTCAACATACCAGTATCTATAGGAAGTTATGAAAAAAAGGTATCCAAGTGGTAACTGTTTTAGTACATTATGGTTGTCTTACAAAGGAATGCTATATGTTGTTGTAACATAACCAATTGAAAAGTAAAGTGTGCGCTCTGATTGGTCAATTCAGCATCCACCATGGGTGTATGCTGCTGACATGAGCAAATGCAAAGACTAGTTTTCTGTTCTGTTTACGTAAGATTTGTTAAATGAAAGAAAACTCTTTTGCTACAATGTATCAATGTTATGATATAATACAAAATGGTAAACGTCACTTTTGAGTTATGGATGCACTTGGTAGGTTTGCTAAGCACTCAAGAAGCTAGAGTCACTCACTCCTATTACCTCATGGGACTCTTATGCTTCTTGTTTTAATTTGTGCTTTGCAAACTCCCACATGCATCCATAACTCAGTAGTATTCACTGCGGTGTTTACCAAAATAATGTTAAAAAGCATTTTACCCTGCTCCATGGAGGTTCTAATTTGTTTTGGCCAAAGTAGAAGCCCTTATGCAAAACTTTGAGTGGTGTTGAAGAATAGTAACATCTAATGTTGTCTGTTACAAAAGAAAAAAGTGAGAATAACTTCTTGAACTAAGATGAGGCAGTCAAGTACTTCATGTTACTTCTGTTGGAGCCTTAGTATAATGGCAGATTGTCTCTAATTTATTGTATGATGAATAATCTCTTTTGTAGGTCCCTGTGAAGACTGTAAAATCGTTGTGCAACAGAGTAAGTAGTTATGGTAAAGTTGAGAAAAGTTACAAGGCTTAAACAGATATGATGTAATTGTGTTCAAGGTCAATTCTATGTTGGTTAGAATTCCACTTAAATATTTATTTTAGCCTTAAGACTAATGGATGTGTGAAAAACTGAAACTGATGGGGACCCCTAACTTATCATGCACTAATATACTTTACATTGTTTAAGATATATAGCCATCAGCTAATGTGTTGTTCAATTTGAAGCTTCATCATTCCCCCCAGGGCAGCCCCTAGGCATTTGCCAAAATTGCATTCAAATGCCCCACCCAATATTGAATTATTCTTTGTGTGATCAGCTATTATATAAAATGTTGTAGAATTTAGCAAAGACAGGTATTAGTGTTTGGTGCTGCTGTTGGGTTTTGCTTCTAAGACTTAGTATCATTTTATGAAGTGAAAAATGGGTCCTCTAAGCCAATTTAAGCAGACTATTACTTTTTCCTTTAAATTCCTTCATTAAAACATTTGTAGTACACTGGTAAGACTTCATGCTTCTGGTTCAAATGCCCCACCCCACTCAGGCAAGGTTCAAATTTCCAACCTGCAAGGTACGGAAAGGGAGGAAGTGTTGAAGCTTCAAAATAATCCGTGTATAAGTTTTGGTTGTAATATGTTTATTATTATCATTATTATCATTATTGTTATCTTTAGTGCTGTTACCATCCATGGTATCATCACTGTTTTCATCTATTCCTGCACTCCCATTGCTTCTGATATTACCAGTTTTTGTCTGTTTTCTCATAAAGTCTGTTATTGTGGAAAACAACATCGGGAGGCTCTTTGTGGAACAGGTAAGGATTTTAGTGAAGAGTTCTTTGTCATTCCTTTTGCATTGCATTAAAGGATACATACTGTGTGGTCCAGAACCAAATAAGTCTCAAACAGTAAAGACCATGAATAAAAACTTACAACCTGTGCATTTTAGGATTTTAAAGAGCAACCTAAGGTTCTGTACTAGGTGAAATTTGCTCAAATGGAAACTGTGTATGCTGCCATTTAGAAGCATTTCTTTTAATTCTTGTAAATTTGTTTTGTTTTACCCTTTAACTCAGGAGATCTGATTGTTAGTTCTCCCTTCTACCTGCCACATAATTATTTCCTTATAAATGAAATTATGAAAATTTGGAATTAGATCAGGATAACAACTTTGACGTGATGAGTTTGCTGGATACAGTATGGATGTTATAGGGAGAAGTTTCATGTTCATTATTTCTGAGAGTTAAAGGGGTAAAGTTTTTTCAAGAGTTGTTATTTTCTTGATAAATATTTTAAATTTTACAAGCTGAATTATTTCTATCAACTTCTGACAAATGAGGTGACTGATTTCATTCTAATTTAGCTCAGGTTACGGAAAGGTCATGATGTACAAGTCATTGTAACCAACATAATTATTAAGGTCCCACCCCACCTGTATGATCACAAGTATTCATCCTCGGACTGGATTCAGACTGCTTTACCAGATTTAATAAAGTTTTAAACAAAAGAATTATGAAAGTTGAGTGCAGTTTGTGACATTCTGTTTCTGTCTGAAAAAAAAAAAAAAAAATTCTACTTCTAAAACATACGGTGAACCCAAGAAGAAATATTTATAAAGGAAGACATAAACTTACTACAGGTAGCTCATTCAAGCAAAAAGGTTGAGAGTAGTAAGTGCAACCTGTGATATATGCTTTCTTCCCCAACTTTTGGTGGTAAACAAATCTGAAATCATACTAGGCTCAGAGGTTTAAGGAGTACAAAGTGGAGAGCTGTGATATTCATTTAGCTTCCCCAAATGTTGTTGTTTTTTTTATTTTTGCTGTTATTTTCCAGCACCTGCTTGTCCATTTAGGGGCACTTCTCAACTGACCGTAGACTGTTAAAAACTGCTAGTTGTCTTTCTTAGATAGGTGTTCACCTTGCCTTACCCTTTACAGCTTTGTTGGATGAGTTTTTATTTTTGTTCTAATACTATAGGAGAACCTGGCAATGAGGACCTAGAAGGAAAATCAGGATGTTTCTCTTGTCAAGAGAAGTGCTTAAGGTACAAATTAAGTAATAATTCATTTAATTTATAACTTGACAGTTCTTTTTAAAAGTAGGGAAAATAAAACCTTGGAAAAAGGTTGAACCCAGCCATGCCTACAGAGCAGGAGTATGAAGCTTTATGCTGCTGTTTATAAAGCATGGAAAATAAAAAATGTTGTATTTCCTCATTCCAAGCTGAGATTTAGTTCATGGGATGCTCAATACCAGCATACATGATTCCAACTTTCATAAGTTGTCCTGATTGTTTGTCATTCAAAAAAGAAAATACCTCTCCTACATAAACTATCAATGTTTATCTCACGATGTAGTCACTTCCAAGATTGCAAGGTTTGAACTGCATAATGCTGCCTATTGTCTAAAGTAAACTCAGAGTATTTAACAAATGGTAAACACCACAGCGTACACTATTGAGTTATGGATGCATGTGGGAGGTTGCTAAGCACGAAAGAAGCGTAAGAGTCGCTCAAGGCGATAGCCGAGAGCGACTCTAGCTTCTTGAGTGCTTAGCAAACCTCCCAAGTGCATCCATAACTCAATAGTGTACACTGTGGTGTTTACCATTTGTTTTATAACATAACATTAACAAATTGTAGCTAAAGAGTTCCCTTTTATTGAACAAATCTTACGTGACCAGAAAAAAACAAGTCTTTGCATTTGCTCACGTCAGCAGCGTACACCCATGGGCAAATGGGGGACGCTAAATTGACCAATCAGAGCGCGCGCTTTACTTTGGTTATGTTATAAACAAGTTTGAACTGCATAATGCTGCCTATCGCTTAAAGTAAACTCAGAGTATACAGTCAAAACATTGTCATCCACATCAGGAGTGATAGGGAGAAAGCTGTAGTTTTGCATAAATTTATTTGAGAAAGCTCAAGATAAAATGTATGTTGTATCCATAACAAAGTAAATTATTGCCAGTATTCTTTATAAACATTATGGTCAATACTGCACGTATTCCTAAATTATGAGTACATGGCTGTGAATTTCATGACTCTCCTTGGGACAACCCGTTAGTTAGACTAACTTGCACCCATTGTCTTCAGAACCTGTAAGTTTAAAGGTTTGTTAGACCACAAAAACCAAGCTGTTTTGCTGTTTCACAGGTATGCTGTATCCTGGATTTTAACCTTAATTTATTTAAAAAATGAAGGGTGCAGTTAATCCATTGAGATGTTAATTGTAAGTCTAATAATGGTCTTGTTTTATTTAAGGACCCTTGATTGTGGCAACCATTACTGTCAAACTGTTTGTCATGTTGGAGTTTGCAAAGAATGTCTGCTGAAGCCATCAATTCTTACAATTTGTCCATGTGGAAAAACTCCTCTTTTTGATTTGCTTGGTGGTCATGATGTTAGAAAATCTTGCTTAGATCCGGTACCAACCTGCCAATTGATATGTGGGAAGGTTCTTCCTTGCAGTCCATTGAAAGGTATTTTGGCAAGACCTTGTTTCTTGACAAGATCATTGAGGATTTGCACATTCATTTTAACTAGTTTTGACTTGTGCTAAATTGCTACTTAATGCTCATACGATCTCGCCTCTCTAAAGGTAACTTGAGCAATGAGATGATATCCCTTCACTTCCAGCAAATTTCCTATAGAATCGCATTGTATCTCGCATTCTGATTGGTTAAGGAAGTGAGGTATTTAGTGTGGAATTGCGAGTTGAAAATGAGGCTACGTGATATTGTTTCGCATCTACTTAAGCATAACAACTATCGTCAAATTGTTACAAAGTTTGGTTTCTAAGTCAATTTAAAATGTGTTCAAAACCATTGTCACCTTGTAAAGAGCCAAAAACAAAAAAAGCATTTCTCAAAGTGAGCCTGAGGTTCTTCCTTGTTTTGAACTGAACTATAAATTCTTGGAGAGGCATGAACAACCTCTTTCGTTTGCGACAATGCGAAAGCGAGAAAATCCTATATTTAGCAAATAGATAGTATACAAGACAGAGTTAATGCAAATTAAAGGAAAAGGCTTCACTTAAACATTTTTGCATCATGAAATAGGTGATTTAAAAGGCTCTCACGTAAATTTTGAACCATTATTTTTTGAAAAAATGTTTAAGCTGTTTGTGTGTTTGTTCCATTGTGGCTCTATAACCTGATAAAGCATCTGCTTGCAAACTGAATTTACCAAGCAGAAGATGCATACTATTTTCATTCTATGTTATCAATTAATTTTAGTACATGCTGCATTAGTTCCAGTTTTATTATGGCGTAGTTTTTTGAAAAGAATTAATTGCTGACTGATGCATAATGAAATGTTTGTAAGTTGGAAAATTAAACTACTTCTTCGTAAAGTTCCTTGCTGCCTTTTAGGAAATAAAATACTGTTAAGCATTGTGAAATACTTATGGTTCCTAATAGGCCTGTAGTGTGATGGCATTAACTAGAAAACATCCTTGGCCCAATGTCATTTTCCCTTTTTATCCTGTCTAGTCACTTGTCAAATCTGATCCTTCGTTACACAGTCACGGTTACCGTAATAGTTAGCTTTTAATAATTACACTGTAAATCGGAAATGATGCTTTGAAATTGTATGTGATATACTGTATGGCATGACAACTTTGGCTCCTTACTGCCTGTCCCAAATCCCAAGGTGTATGATGAGACAGTGATACATGCACGAGTACATAGCTTGCAATGTTCTTGTTATATTTAAGATCAACGTGTTTAAAACATTGTTTCTAAATACCCAGTGAGCACTATGCATTGTTTTCTCCTGTTTCACAGATCTCTCACAGGGTAGAGGAAGCATAAAAACCAAAGAGCACTGCTGTAAAATGCGATGTCATCTTGGTGGGTGTGGTCCTTGTGATGGAAGAAGAAAAATCAAGTGTAGATGTGGTACAAATACCAAGGTAAATAACCATCAACAAGCCTTATCTTACCTAAGCAAACTGAATTACTGCAACTGTCCCTACTTTTAACTTTACAGCTGTGTGATTTATTGAGATATTTCTCCTTTTTGGCTACAATGACATTTCTTTGAATTAAAATAATGTGTCAATATCTGATTTGATTTGGAATTCCTACTATATGTTGTAATTATTGCGTAATTTAAAATGGCCAGATTGCAAAATTTCGTAATTCATTTTATTTTTTTTTAAAAGACCCTTTTAATGAACCTTTTTCGAAAATTATATCAAAAAGTTCTCTCGCGCTTTTTTTCTCCGAAAAATCGAAAAGTTCAAAATAAGCCTAAATGGCTGTTGTCCCCCCGTAAAGCAATGAAAAGTTATGCAGCTTCGGCAACTTCGCACGCTACAACGCGATGCAATCCCGCTTTTAAATTTTGTGTGCCAACAGATGGTCTTTTAGCTCTTAGAAATTGTTAATTTCTTGAACAAGAACTATGTTGGTACGTTTGAGTCTGAATAGTAACCCGTTGAAATAAAGTACTTCGCGTGTCTTTCGCGGTGGCTAAATAAGGGTAAACTTTAGTGGGCTATAAACAGTCTGCCATATATACAAATCATAATGTACATCATCTTAAAGCGTTATCCTTGTGTTTTCATTCCTCCAATTCTCTATCTTTGCCCGCCATAAGCGGCACGTCCAGGTTTAAAAAAATAAA